TATGTCATAACACAAATAGCCTTTATAATCAAGTGTGTAGCCAAGGAAAACGCACTGTTTAGTTCTAGGTTGCAATTTATTTGAGTTGTATGGCCTGAGTAAGGGATAACAAGCACACCCAAACACCCTCAGATAACTAAGATCTGGTGAGATCAAACTAGATGCAAAAACAAAGCAGTGAGAAAGAGAGAGAGAGAAAAACATATTCTATTTCTTCTTTATCAAGTTACAAAATCCTTTATTACAATTACATTGATGCCCTATATATATACACTCAAGAGGGCTCTTAACCAACTAACAACTTGTACAGTTGACAGCTCCTAACTAACTGCATGTGTTCTGAATTACAGCTGGATGGTGTTGTGATCGTGCAACAATTATGGTGAATAATAAGGAATCAAACAATTAAGAAAACAAGAGAAAATAACACAAAAATTTACATGATTCGGCAATGTGCCTACATCCACAGGAGCGAGCGGCCGTTCTTTTTCATTATTCAAAGTAGGGTTACATCTTAAGTATTTATATAACCTTAGTACGGACGTATTTACAAAATACTCCTGTACCGTACCGCGGGGGCGTTGCCTCCGCACCCCCAACTAATCAGCGTCCCCCTATACATAAAATATATCAATCCTACAAGACAGATGTCGTCACGGGCTCCGCTCCGCTCCGACATCTGCCTCCTTGCCATTGTGCACACAGTAAATATGAGCCACACATACTCTAACAGATGGTCCTAAGCTGCATCAGATAACTAAGGAGGATCATATATTGCAGAATCCTTAATAATAGACTCATCCCCAACAAGCACAAGGTGGAAATGCTACCACATCCTAAACTACAAATACTAAAAGTTTGCATCGAAGCACAACCAAAGGACAATATGAATTTTGCAAGCAATTCATTTGCTAACTCCTTATTGTCCTTTCAAAATTTGTATGTATCCCCTTGTGTATTTTCATTAAATAAAAAAAAAAGTTCTGTTTGATGCTACACTTGTAAGCAATCTTATTAAAACCAAGAACATCCACACCACAATAAGTTAAGTTTTTCAAAAAAAACTGCTAGTGGAGGAAGGCCTTTGAGGGATAAGATACATAAGGCTAAAGGGAGAGCCAAAAAAAGATTCAAATCTGAATTTTTCTTCTTCTTCATCTTTTTTTCTTTTTCTTTTTTATTTATAGATACAAGATAAAGCTTATTTCACATTCCAACTCTTCAGCACAAGTATACAGAAAGATTAATTTCAAATAAGAGATATGAATGCATTCTCTAAAATTGGAAAACATCTTTATTTGCTTGCAAGAATTTCAAGACCTCCTTTTCCTCCTAAAGCCTTGTAAAACTCCAAATCTTGACAAGGAAAATGGACAGCCTTTCCCTTCTTTAGCACAAACAGATAGTTTCATCTAATCGTTACCAATAATTCAATCATAATCATCTACCAAATTAATTACCTTTCAAGCATTGCTAGTTCAAAGAACATCCCCAAAATCAACAAATTCATTAGATGGGTAAATTTAACCAAAGTCACACCAAAAATTCACAATATAATTCCATCCAAAAACAGCAAAAACAATGGCATGCAATTGAAAACCCAGAAAAGTAAATTCAATACTCAAAAAAACACAAACACCCAAATCAAAAGTTAAGATCTATATGTAGATAGAAGCATATATATGTAAATATGCATATATATTCACCAGACAAATGTGAAAAGAACAAAGAAAGTAGCCAATAGTTACTCTGTTTTTTTCTGGCGAAGGATACGAAACTGCTCAGGAGAGAGAATGGCCCGCCATTCCTCCTCTGACTTCTGGACTGAATCAGGTGCTGCCATGATCGCTTCAACTGCAAATGCTACTGTATCCACGCACCCCCGAACCCCAATCGCAAATCAGTAACTGGAGATGGGTACTTGGTGATTTTTTTAAGAAAACAAATATATAATTTCCGGGACAAACGAATGTAGACGGTTTAATGGGTCAAAGGGACAATCTTTTTTTTTTTTCCGAAAATTGCAATGACGCCCCATAATTTCTGATATATTTTAAAGACACTACTATTGCCTTTTTATTTCTTTTTCTTCTTGTAATAATTAAAAATAACACCCCTCATAATCCCACTACAATACCAAAAGATACTACTAGATTCTTTGACATTATATTGACACTCAATTAGTTTTGATTCCACAAGATGATTTGATTCTTTTTTTTAACAGTTAAGAATATTCGGACTTATTTACACACACTTCGATTAATTTCGTTTTTGGTCCTCATGACATGATTTTAAGAGATTGTCAAGATTCAAATTCAAGAAATCTAATTTTACGTTTCATTCTTACTATCACTTGATCAATCCTTTGAAATTAAAATAATTCGACATTTGTATGAAAATAGGTAAGAACCGAAGTTTATAATTTTTTGAGGGTTAAATAAGTTTTTGAAGTTTAATTATGACAAAAAAAGTTAAATTAATTAAAAAATATTAGGACCGATTTTGAAAAATTATAAAATTTTGGGCTAATATTACACTTTTTAAGTTATAATTTTTTAGGGGTGAAGTTATAATATTTTAAGTTGTTTACGATTAATCCTAATAATATAGTTGGGACCGAGAAAGAAAAAAGGGGAAACGAGAATTTAACTAGACCGGTTAAAAACGGAGAAGCCACAAACGCTACCGTATGGCATGCCCAACAACGGAACGACGGCGTCTTATGAGGTTTTTTAACGAGTTTCTCTTTTAGGTGAGTTTGTAAAGTCCCATACAAATATAATTGTCTGTATAATCACTCCTCCAGTCTCCTTCCTCCTCCAGCACCGAGACCCTGAAGAAAAGCTGAAACCTAAGTGTGTGTGTCTGTGTGAGAGAGAGAGAGCACCGAGAGCCTAAACAGAACCCAGAAAATCACAACTCTACAAGATATATTACATGTTATAGAGAGAGAGAGAGGAGGGAGAGAGAGGGGCAAAGAATCAATGTTTATTTGTATATAGTTTGTGTGCATCGATACCCGTACCTGAACTGAAGATTTAGAAAAGAATGGCATTTCAGGGATTTGGGAAGAACTCAGGACCAAGTGCACCCCCAAGTGAGCAACCCCCATTTGGAAACTTCCCTCGCCCGCCTTCCCCGATTCCACATCTTCCCAATCCCACCCTCCCACCATCTATCAGGTTCTGTCTCTCTCTCACCCTCATATGGTTTTTTGTATTTAATGCATCTCTATTCTGCTTGTTCATACTATTTTCGGTGTTAGAGAGCTACCCAAGAAATTGGTGTTGTTTTGATTGAGTGTGAACTGCAGAAACCCTCAATATATATATATATTTTTTGCGCTTAGGTAAGGGATATGAATTTTTGCGGATTTTTTTTTTTTTTTGGAGCTAAAGACATTGCTGATCCTTTAAACCGTTTGACACAAATAATAAATTAAGAAGCTGTACAACTTAATTTGACAAAGCTCTGTCCCAACGATTTGGGTCGGTTATCGAAGGGCGGATAAAGTGGGCACACTAGTCTTCACATTAACAGTTGGGATCATGCATGGTGCTCCTTTATCCATGATGCCTAAGGTGCCCAAGTATGGCATATTGACGGCTTTTGTTGGTTCCAAGAACTCTATCTCTAAGATGACCTTGAAATTGTCTAGGGGTGCCACAGTGAAATTAGTCCTCCCTTTCCATCCTCCTATTTGTATTTGTATTTTTCCTGTGAAATAATAAGCTATTATATGTTTTTTTACTATCTCATTCGCAATTAATTATGGTCTATCTCTACTCCTTGCATTGTCATCAAGATGGATCACACCACTCTTCCTGCAGTTAGAGTTTTTTTATATACCTAAGTCATCTAAGCCGATTTTATCTTAATTTATTTCTTATTAGTGCTATTTCTACAGCTTGACGAAGATTCACATTACTAAATTCAGTTTATCTCTTATTAGTGCTATATTTATCATTTGATGGAGATACTCATTACTGAATTCTATTCTTTTTTATTTACCACATAACCATCTTAACAAAAAAAGAAAAGAAAAGATTTGATACCAATCCTTGAGGCATTTAATATCACGGACAAGGGAAAGCTATTTGTAAAGCTCATAGAGTTCATGCTAATCTTGTTTAGAAGCATATTAAATAGTATGGAATTCACAATCGTATAAATTGAAGCCATAAAAAAGAAATGGGGAGTTGTCAAAAAGAGAATCATTAGGATACTCACTAACTGATCATGTATTTACTTATACAATGCATTAGGATTTCATGTTAAGCTTATTAATGATTTAAACTAAATCTCGATTTCTGAAATATAAATAGAAGGTCTTTAGTAAAAGTATGGTAATAGGGATTGTTTCTGGTGTTGTTTAAAGTTATCGTAAAAGTAATAAATTTTTTTTAGTGATACAAATAACATGTTACAATGGTATTTTAATCTTACGATTGTAGCATGCTTAGTGACCATTTATGTGTTAGTTTTAGCTTGTTTGCGCACAATGATACTTTTATCGTTGTGTGTATTATCATGTTAGATATTTTTTTGTTGAATAAAGGTTGTTGGACATTCTGTTGAAATTGAATAAAAGAAACAGGCGGCCATAGAATGTAAATGATAGCCATAATATAGATTTATAAGATCTTATTATTTGTATACTAGGCTCTTTTTCTTTTTCTTTTTACTTTTTTTTTTGGGGGGTGGGGGAGGCAGAATGGGGGGAGGGGCATATTTAACCGTCGAGGTTGTAATAATAGTGGGATTGCATTGTAGTTATGGAATGGACTTGGGAAGCGGAAGGGGGGTGGGATGGGGTGAGGGGAGGGGGGGGTTCAGTGTTCTATGACATCTTGTCATCCATACTTTAGATATCTACAGTTTTGCACTATTTCAGAAATTTTTTTTCCTTTTCGTGACCCTTTTGTTCTTCATTTGTTGCTCATGGCCCTAAAATTGCCATAAAGAATATTATCTCTTTTAGTTTAAAAGTATACGTAGAGATGGCATCAAGACATGCATTTGTTACTCCCTTAACCCTGTGCTTTACTTGCATAGAGTGTATTGAGATACATGTATTCTGAATATTTTCAGATCTCTCTCTATTAACTACTAATGCTATGAATTTGTTGTGCAGGCCTGCTTTAACATCCTCTGTATGGATCAATCCATCAAAATTGTCCAACAATTACACCAATTCGTTGAGCCAACGGGACCCATACCAAGCCCCACCTTATAATGGTACGCGTGATTCTGGAGGAAACTTCCCAACCAAGTATGCGGATGTTCAGGCCCCAAAACGAAACAGGTCCCCACCTTTGCCATCTACTGGTGAAGCTTCCCAGGAATATTCTCTTTTTGCCCGAAATGACTTGGAGAGGTACTATTGTGAAAGCAGATTCCCACATCATTGATGTTTAGAGTCATCTCTATTGTACACAGTGTTCTGAAAGTCATGATGCCAAAGAGTATTTGCCCGTCAATTGTGCAACTACTCCAATTGATAATATGACTCCTACAAAGTCGTATCTTGAGAGTAATGGTGAGCTACTTATGTGTTTAGGATGAACATTCTCTTTTGGATGCAAAGTAGAGGATCAAATAGCCTTCTTGAGAAATTTTCTGGCATTGACTGCTGAGTGTGTTTGGACCAATAATCCCAACCTACAGAAGTTTTAATAAAATTTGCATTAATTCTCAATACCAAAGGAGTGTGATCAAGAAAAATAATCATATTCTCGACTTGCAGTTGAGAACGAGCAAAATTTTTGTGCTTAAATAAAGTTTGGAGATTCTGATAATTGTAAGAGTGATCCTTAAGAAATATGAAAGAAGTCCAGTTTCCTTTTAATTTAGTTTTTGTTTGAAATTTAAGTGTGTTGACCTTACAAAGTGAAAATAGTTGAGCAGGATTGGTCATCCTTGAGGAAACCTGAAAGAAAGAGGGAAAAGAAAGAAAAAATACAGGAGAAAGTGCAACGTGGAAAGCTTTATATTACCTTCAATTTCATTTGAGCTTTCAGTTAGAGGTTTTTTTATATATCTGTCTAAGTCATCTAAGCCGATTTTATCTTAATTTATTTCTTATTAGTGCATTTCTGCAGCTTGACGAAGATACACATTACTAAATTCAGTTTATCTCTTATTACTGTTATTAGTGTTATATTTACCATTTGATGGAGATACTCATTACTGAATTCTGTTCTTTTTTATTTACCACAAAACCATCTGAACGAAAAAAAAGAAATAAAAGATTTGATACCAATTCTTTAGGCATTTAGTATCACGGACAAGGTAAAGCTAGTTGTAAAGCTCATAGAGCTCATGCTAATCTTGATTAGAAGCATGCTAAATAGTACGGAATTCACAATCATATTAATTGGAGCCAGAGTATAAGAGATACAATTGTAGTATGCTCAGAGACCATTTATGTGTTAGTTTTAGCTTGTTTGTACGCAATGCTACTTTTATTGTTGTGTGTATGATCTTGTTAGATATTTTTTTGTTGAATAAAGGTTTGTTGGACATTCTGTTGAAATTGGAAAAAGGCGTCCATAGAATGCACATGATAACCATAAAATAGATGTATAAGGTACATTATTTGTATACTGGGCTGCTTTTTTTATTTTTTATTTTTGGAGGGGGGGGGGGAGGCAGAATGGGGTGAGGGCCATATTTCACCATTGAGGTTGTAATAATAGTGGGATTGCATTGTTGTTATGGAATGGACTTGGGATGGGGAGGGGTGGGTGGGGGTTTCAGTTTTCCATGACTTCTTGTCATCCTTACTGTTAGATATCTACAGTTACAGTTTTGCACTATTTGAGGATTTTTTTTTTCTTTTAGTGGCCCTTTTGTTCTTCATTTGTTGCTCATGGGCCTAAAATTTCCATAAAGAATATTATCTCTTTTAGTTTAAAAGTATGCATAGAGATGGCATCACAACATGCATTGTTACTCCCTTAACCCTGTGTTTTAGCTGCATAGAGTGTATTGAGATACATGTATTCTGAATATTTTCAGATCTCTCTCTACTTATGCTATGAATTTGTTGTGCAGGCCTGCTTTAACTTCCTCTGTATGGATCAATCCATCAAAATTGTCCAACAATTACACCAATTCGTTGGCCCAACGGGACCTATACCAGGCCCCACCATATATTGGTACTCGTGATTCTGGAGGAAACCTCCCAACCCAGTATGCAGATGTTCAGGTCCCAAAACGAAACAGGTCCCCACCTTTGACATCTACTGGTGAAGCTTCCCAGGAAAATTCTCTTTTTGCCCGAAATGACTTGGAAAGGTACAATTGTGTAAAGCAGATTCCCACATTGTTGATGTTTAGAGTCATCTCTATTGTACGCATGTTCTGGAAATCATGATGCGTGCCCGTCAATTGTGCAACTACTCCAATTGATAATAATAATAATAATATGACTCCTACGAAGTCATATCTTGAGAGTAATGGTGAGCTCCTTATGTGTTTAGGATGAACATTCTCTTTTGGATGCAAAATAGAGGATCAAATAGCCTTCTTTAGAAATTTTCTGGCATTGAATGCCGAGTGTGTTTGGACCACCCAACCTGCAGAAGTTTTATTAAATTTGTATTAATTCTCAATACCAAAGGAGTGTGATCAAGAAAAATAATCATCTTCTGGATTTGCAATCGAGAATGAACGAAATTTATGTGCTTAAATAAAGCTTCGAGTTTCTGATATTTGTAGGAGTGGTCCTCAAGAAATATGAAAGAAGTACAGTTTCCTTCTAATTTGGTTTTTGTTTGAAATTTAAGTGTTGTTGGCCTTACAAAGTGAAAATAGTTGGGCAGTATTTGTCATCCTTGAGGAAACCTGAAACAAAGAAGGAAAAGAAAGAAAAAATACAGGAGAAAGTCCAACGTGGAAAGCTTTATATTGCTTTCAATTTCATTTGAGCATTCAGTTGATGGAATTCCTCCACAAGTGTTGCAGTATGTTTAGGAGATGTAGAGTACAGACCCTTAGCCATTTTTGTCAAGAGAAGAATTGTTTTACCTTAAAACATTAAAAGTCTTATGGCATGGACATTTCTGGTGGTGTCTCTTCAAATATGAGATGTCAACACAGAATATTTGGTCTTCTCTCTCTTCTCTGTGCAATTATTTTTCAATGAGCGTGTTTGTCTGAATTGCTTTGCAATTTTGTTATTTTTTCCCAATTTTCATCTCAACAAATTCAGTGTATATATTTTTTTGGGGTCAGGCCTTTTATATCTCCTCCCGGGTTGAGTACAAGGCCAAATGGTATACTTAATGGTCATGATCCTCAGAGTCATCAGTGGTCCTCACCATCAGCACATGCCACTAATGCAGAAGCTGCTTTGTCTAAGCTCTCCAGTTCCCCAGGTCCCAAAAGAACTAGGTTACCTTCTTTACCTTCAACCAATCAAGTCCTTCAGGAAAACTCATACACTGAGCAAGATCAAGATGATATTGAACGGTAAGATGTTGTTTGTGTTCATTGGTCCATTTGTACCTTATTCCTTATTAAATAGCATTACTTTTCCAACTTAGTATCTTGTTATTCAGAGAATTGCAAGCCAAAGCAAAGCGATTGGCCCGCTTCAAAAATGAACTAAACCAACCTGTCCAAAGCAGTTCTAATATCGAACAGCAAAAACTTCCCATGAAGAGGCAACAGGCAATAATGGAGACACAAAACTTTATGGGGGAACGTTCTACAGATCTGGCAGGTGATTTGTCCAGCAGCAATTTTTCATGTGATCATGAAGGCCTGGAGTCATCCAGTGTTATAATTGGACTCTGTCCAGATATGTGTCCGGGTATGTCTTTCAACTTTNGCAACAGGCAATAATGGAGACACAAAACTTCATGGGGGAACGTTCTACAGATCTGGCAGGTGATTTGTCCAGCAGCAATTTGTCATGTGATCATGAAGGCCTGGAGTCGTCCAGTGTTATAATTGGACTCTGTCCAGATATGTGTCCGGGTATGTCTTTCAACTTTTTGATCATGTTCTTCCTTCAAGCCAACCTGGACATCTCAATACATATAACTATATTAGAGTTTATGATTTGGGCCTATGTCTATACTTGAATTTGTTCCCCAAAATAACTTTTTCAATCAATTGGAACACTGTACTTCGTGTCATGTCAGGAAATAGTTGCCACAAGTTGAGTTGTGGTGAAACTGTAGTGAAACAGAACTTGTTAGACAATTGTTTTAAAAAAGGGGTTAGAGATAGTAATTCATAATCACAGTTTTAAGAAATTGGTTGTTGATGATCAACTATATGCCTTCCTTTCACATGTAACTACATGGCAAATAACCTCTTACCCTGTGTTTCTGTAAAGTTTCAATTCTGATAGTAGGATGAGTGTAAGTGGAGTTCTTTGGCAAGTTAGGTTGAAGTCCATGGAGCTGGAAGACATCAGCAGAGTCTTGCTTTGAGCTGGTGGTGAGGGGGCTTGGGTTTGTCGGTCGGATGGAGCTTGTGAAGGAGGGGTTGGGCTCTGGTTCTGTGGGGTGTTAAATGAAGCCTCTTCCACTAATCCCCAGTTAGAGTTTGTCCATAATCAGGGGGACGTGGACCTGTAGGTGGTCAGGAACAAGAACGAGTGTGGTAGTCTTGTGTATTTATAAGTAAAGGACGGGCTTATATTAGAAGTGTCTTTATTGGTGCAACTAGATTGAAAAGTGGTTGGTTAGAGATTGCAATGGTGTCTCAGTCTGGAAAATGAAACCAAAAAATCAGTATTTCGCTCTCTTGCAATATGCAGTTCTGTCTGGTTTATAAGTATTCAAACAATCTGTGAAGAAGTTTTAGCATTCTTAAGAAATTAGCTGACCTTGATTTCCTTGTTTCATGTTTTAGAGTCAGAAAGAGCAGAAAGAGAGAGAAAAGGTGATCTTGATCAGTATGAACGCGTGGATGGGGATAGAAACCAAACCAGCAGATTTCTTGCTGTTAAGAAGGTAGTCCTTGGGCACTTTTTGTATATTCTCCCCCCCTCTCTTACTCCTTTTTCTGTCCTTGCAAATAACCTTTATTTCAGACTAATATATATGAGCAAGCATGACGGGAGTTCTAATATGATTGTTTCAGTACACTAGGACAGCGGAGAGGGAGGCGGAATTGATACGACCCATGCTGATCCTTCAGAGCACAATTGATTATCTTCTAAATTTGCTGGATCAGCCTTATGATGACAGGTTTCTTGGCTTGTATAACTTCTTGTGGGATAGGATGAGGGCAATCCGGATGGATCTAAGGATGCAACATATTTTCAACACAGGGGCTGTCACTATGCTGGAGCAAATGGTCTGCTGTCTTTCCGTATGCTTTATTTTATGCTTGTACCAAAGAGACTTAATTTGCACCAACTTGTAAGTGGATGCATATGCCGACAATATGTACGGTTAAGAAGTGTGGTTTACGCGGGAACATTAGGGACACCACATGGTTGTGCCCTGGTGAAAGAGTATCTATTAGATCACTTACTAGTTAATGTTTTTATTGATCATCTCATATATGAAATGTTCCCACGTATTCACATTTGAAACTTATCAAATTCGTTTTCCTCTTCCCCATACCACAAAGTTGCTTCTTGGACATCTGTTTCGTTGAATAATCTGAAATTCTGCTGTTTTATTTGTCCACGAACTTGAAGCATCTTTAATCACTTGCACTGTAGCATACTGGATGCCAATAGATTCTATGAAATCTCAATTTTTTTTGGGCTATGTGGCACCATCTCAAGTTGGCTTATTTCTTTATTCATAGATATTTATCCATTGCTTCTGCCTATTTTTCTTTTATTTATGTTTTCCAAAAACTTATCATCTCCTATTCCTTTCATTAATCTTCATTTGTCCATTCATTAATTATATTTTTCATGTTGGATGACGTTCCTTCTTGTTAAGATGCCATATAATTCTTCTTAGGAGTAAAAAGTGTTGCAATGACTGTGGTTTCAGATAAGACTTCACATAATTGCCATGCATGAGTTATGTGAATACACAAGAGGCGAAGGATTTTCGGAGGGATTTGATGCACACCTCAACATTGAGCAGATGAACAAAACGTCAGTCGAGTTGTTCCAACTATATGATGATCACAGGAAGAAAGGAATAGATGTGCCAACGGAAAAAGAATTTCGAGGTTATTATGCACTTCTCAAGCTGGACAAACATCCAGGGTACAAAGTAAGTCATCTGCAGTGGCAACATGATTGTACGAGTTTCATTTCCAATGTCGCTTGTGAAAATAAGAATATCGGTGGTAGGTTGAACCTGCAGAGCTCTCACTTGGACTTGCCAAGATGACACCAGAGATACGACAAACCTCAGAAGTGTTATTTGCCCGTGATGTAGCAAGGTAGTCTCTTCCCTTAGATGTAAATGTGGGTTACAATATTTGACGTAGCCTAACAATATTTTCTATTTCGTTATTCCAGAGCCTGCAGAACCGGTAATTTTATTGCCTTTTTTCGGCTTGCGAGGAAAGCTAGCTTCCTTCAAGCTTGCTTGATGCATGCGCACTTTGCAAAGGTACAAGTAACTGCAACTTATGCTTTCATGCAATCTAGTTTGGAATCTCCAACACCAGAGAGCTTAATATTAGCTGCTATTGAGTTTCCTAAGTATTTTTAATAATTCATGTTAGAGTCTGACTTTCCTTGCTAGAATCTACAATAGACAGTGCATTTCATTGATTTTGTCTCACTTTTATGCTGTTTTTATCAGTTGCGCACTCAGGCACTTGCTTCTCTACACTGNATGCCCTTTTCAATGTAGCTCAGTTTATGCATACTGATTTACATGCCCAAGTGTCATACACCTTCGGAATTTAGCTCTGACTTTCCTTGCTAGAATCTACAATAGACAGTGCATTTCATTGATTTTGTCTCACTTTTATGCTGTTTTTATCAGTTGCGCACTCAGGCACTTGCTTCTCTACACTGCGGCCTACAGAATAATCAAGGCATTCCTGTTTCCCTCATCTCCAAATGGCTTNCGGGAACATTAGGGACACCACATGGTTGTGCCCTGGTGAAAGAGTATCTATTAGATCACTTACTAGTTAATGTTTTAATTGATCATCTCATATATGAAATGTTCCCACGTATTCACATTTGAAACTTATCAAATTCGTTTTCCTCTTCCCCATACCACAAAATTACTTCTAGGACATCTGTTTCGTTGAATAATCTGAAATTCTGCTGTTTTATTTGTCCACGAACTTGAAGCATCTTTAATCACTTGCACTGTAGCATACTGGATGCCAATAGATTCTATGAAATCTCAATTTTTTTTGGGCTANCACTTTTATGCTGTTTTTATCAGTTGCGCACTCAGGCACTTGCTTCTCTACACTGCGGCCTACAGAATAATCAAGGCATTCCTGTTTCCCTCATCTCCAAATGGCTTGGGATGGAGGTAACTCTTATTTGGCTTGATATAGAATGCCTTTGTTTCAAATTACAGGTGAAGTTACGAATTCTCTATATGTATCTTTCTCTATTGATATCAGGAAGAAGACATAGAAAACCTTTTGGAGTATCATGGATTTTCGATAAAGGAATTTGAAGAACCATATATGGTGAAGGAAGGACCATTTCTCAATGTTGACAATGACTATGCTGTGAAGTGTTCAAAACTCGTTCATCTGAAAAAGTCAAGAAGGATAAATGAGGATGTTTCTTTTCCTTGCATAGCAAAATCATTGTCTTCTGACGAAGTAAAGGATATCCAGTTGGATAAGGTTTACGAGTATGAACCTGATGAATTTGAAGAGACGCAAAGTGGAGCCCAGGCCGTTGATGAGGAAATGCTTGATTATAAAACTGTCTCATCACCGAAGGATGATTTGCAATTGAAGCCAATGTGGAAAACAGTAGGAGTTAATCAATGGAATGAAGATAACCGTCAGGTGCCTGCTGCAAGTCCTTTGCCATGGAGTTTCTCTGTAGCTCATAGTTCCCCTAAATCTCAAGAAGCTAGAGTCAAAAGTGCAGGGAGACCAAATTATGATTCCCTTTTCAGAAACTCTGTTGAGAAAAACATAAACTCTGACATAAAAGCAAAGGAAATGCAAGTTATGCCAAGAATATTGGACCAGGAGAGAGTATCAATTTCACAAGTTGATTCTGCTGTGGAAACTTCAGTACCCCAGTTTGTCGCTATTAAAGACTTGGAAGATGAAGACCGTAGGGATACCCATCAAGAAGTTGAAGCCCATGAAGTGTCGACAAGTGATTATGATGAAGAAGTTGCTGAAGCCAAACTCAAACTACTCTCAAGGTTAATGCTTTTTCTACAGATTTGGCTATATGTTGCCGTGCTTTTTTTTTTTTTATGTATCTCTGTTCTTACTTATGTCTATGTTAGGATATGGAGGCGGCGTTCTTCTAAGAAAAGGGAGTTACGTGAGCAAAGGCAGTTAGCAGCAAGTGCTGCATTAAGTTCGTTATCACTAGGCCCTCCACTTTGGCACTACAAAGATGTAAGTTCTTATGCTGTATGCCAGGTTTTAGGTTTTACATTATTCTATTACCCTGGCCTCATTTTGGTTTCATTTCACTGCTGCTGTAGTATAATGCTTCATTTATAGATTAGTAAATTGCTCCGAATCTTCCCCCCCCCCCCAACTTTTCTCTCTCTCCCCAACACACCCCAACAAAACGACAAAATAAAGCCCCAGCCCTGACAAACAACAAAACCAGACATGGTGCAGTTTGAGGCCACCTCCCACGACTCAACCGCAATGCAGCTTGTAGTGATGAGAACACGTGCATTTTCCTGCAGGTGAATGTTCAGAGAAATATATGCATAAATACGTACATATGCAGACACAAATGCATAGATACGTACTTTCCGAAAACATGCATGGGTGCACAAGTAATCACAGAAAGGCCCATGAAGACATGCAATAAATATTTTTGTATGTACGTATGTTGATCTCTACATACATCACTTGCATTCTTATATAAAAGAAGAAAGAAATCAGACATCACTTTTCTACACGATAAGTGAGAAGCTATTAAATATTTACCATTTTGGCATTCATTTTTTCTCATCCTTGACTCATCTTGCTGAAGCTTCTCGTTCATTTTTCCTCTTGTTAGCAACCAAGCACTTTTGGTGAGTTGAACATTGATCGTGTTCTGAACTATAGATATGAAAAACACGAGCAATCATGGTCAAGGCTGAATGTTTCAGAAGTGATAGCGGCTAAACTTGGTGAAAGAAACCCAGATGCCAAATGCCTTTGCTGGAAACTTATTTTGTGTTCTCAGGGCAGCTCAAATGGAGACAAACTAGAGCAGAGGAGCCTAGTTGGCCATGTAGCTTCAGGCCCATGGTTGCTTTCTAAGCTTATGCCTTCCAGTAAAGATGATAGTGCTGCTGATGAATTGGTAATTTCATCCCCTAGCCTGTCAGTATGGAAGAAATGGATTCCCAGCCGATCTGGTGGTGATCAGACCTGTTGCTTGTCAGTCATCAAGGATACCAAATTTGATAATCTGCATGAGACAGTAGCAGGGGGGAGTGCAGTTTTGTTCCTCGTGTCTGAATACATCCCGTGGGGGACCCAAAAGATTCGGCTCCATAACCTTCTGGTGTCTTTGCCTTCTGGTTCCGGCATTCCCCTTTTAATATTAAGTGGCTCATGCGTAGAGAACTTACATCCTTCCACTATAGTCAAAGAACTCGGGCTACATGACATTGACAAATCACGGGTGAATGCCTTTTTGATTCTGTCTCTTGTTAAAAGCCCACAAAAAGAGCACTTACGTGGGTTTTTCAGTGACGAGCAATTGAGAGAGGGATTACAATGGCTGGCAAATGAGTCACCCTTACAACCTGCTCTGTGTAGTGTAAAAACGCGTGATCTAGTTCTATCGCACTTGAATTCTTCGCTGGATGTGCTTGATGAGATAAATGCATATAGTATAAGTCCAGAATACTGTGTCTCAGCTTTCAATGATGCCTTGGATCGATCCATGAGGGAAATTGCTGATTCAGCTAATTCAAATCCCAGCTGTTGGCCTTGTCCTGAGATTGCTTTGCTGGAGGGGCATAGTGATGAGCATAGGGTTGTAGTGTGGTACTTGCCTAGCATAGGTTGGAGCTCAGATGCAAGAATTGGACAACTTATAAGTGCCTTAAGTGAATGTAAACTNCAGTGTATTATTTCGGTCACCTAATAAATGAAAATATTTTTGATAATGTTTTGATCCGTTTCTAAAAAAATAAAAAATTTTACTATTATTTTTTAAAAATATTGATTGAAATATATCAAAATATTTTAAAATACCTTGAAATTCTCTGAAATAACTATGCAAATATATTAAAATATTACTAAACATTAAAAAATACCTTGAAATATTAGAATTTCAATTTCTATCGCTAATTCTTTTCGGTCTCCTTAGAAACAAAAATATTACAACTATTTTAAAACAAAATTTTGATCCTTAGTCAAATAGAATTCAAATCAAAATCCGATCCATTGATACGTCTACTTTTGTTTTGCCTTTCGATGTTTGTTAAATCTAGTTTTTGCATCATCATCTATTCATATTTTTAATTAAAATTTGTGGTAGGGAATTACATTTGACTCTGAACTGCCCTCCATTTTCTTAAGGCGGTCGTCTGATTGAATTTTTCCTCTTAAGTACAAGAGCATGTACTCATTCATATCAAAAAATTTATAGCCAACGAATGCAATCAAACATCAACACAACATTCCAGAGATTGATTGCATCAAGCAGAATGGTTCTCGGTCGATGGACATCCCCATGCGCATTAGTTGCATGAGTTTCGTGCACTGTACTTACTTTTTTTTAGTACGTTCTAGCCTCAGTGTGTTACTTTTTTTTAGTACGTTCTAGCCTCAGCGTGCCCGTTTTCAGGAGGTGAATGATGGGTGACAGACCTGGTCCAAAAAGATCNTAGTGTATTATTTCGGTCACCTAATAAATGAAAATATTTTCAATAATGTTTTGATCCGTTTCGAAAAAAATAAAAAATTTTACAATTATTTTTTAAAAATATTGATTGAAATATATCAAAATATTTTAAAATACCTTGAAATACTTTGAAATAATTATGCAAATATATTAAAATATTACTAAACATTAAAAAATACCTTGAGATATTAGAATTTCAATTTCTATCGCTAATTCTTTTCGGTCTCCTTAGAAACAAAAATATTACAACTATTTTAAAACAAAATTTTGATCCTTAGTCAAATAGAATTCAAATCAAAATCCGATCCATTGATACGTCTACTTTTGTTTTGCCTTTCGATGTTTGTTAAATCTAGTTTTTGCATCATCATCTATTCATATTTTTAATTAAAATTTGTGGTAGGGAATTACATTTGACTCTGAACTGCCCTCCATTTTCTTAAGGCGGTCGTCTGATTGAATTTTTCCTCTTAAGTACAAGAGCATGTACTCATTCATATCAAAAAATTTATAGCCAACGAATGAAATCAAACATCAACACAACATTCCACAGAGATTGATTGCATCAAGCAGAATGGTTGTCGGTCGATGGACATCCCCATGCGCATTAGTTGCATGAGTTTCGTGCACTGTACTTACTTTTTTTTAGTACGTTCTAGCAACAGCGTGCCCGTTTTCAGGAGGTGAATGATGGGTGACAGACCTGGTCCAAAAAGATCATCATTTAACATGGCATGAACATTTGCGCATGAGTCAAGCAAAACTGCTAGCACCCATCAGCATTGAATTACTTGAGACCATCATTTCCTATGCATGAATGAAATTGAAGAAAAAGCATTCCCAATATCACAAGAATTCTACTTCCTATGCATGTAGCCAAACCCTGTTCCGATGTTTAAACTATTCGTATCACAATGCAATGGACGTGCTACCAACCATATACCATACAGTTAAGTTCTAGGAAAAGGATCAAAGGTAATTCTAAAACAAAGAGAGTAGAGATTTACAACTGACCACGCTCTATAATTCTGTTCTACCCAGCAAACAAAAAAAACATATCTTCACCTTCCTTTTGCGTTCATCTCCGGTGTATAATCAAAATTTGGAACCTCTCTTGTACTTGATACATTACANCAGAGAGTAGAGATTTACAACTGACCACGCTCTATAATTCTGTTCTACCCAGCAAAGAAAAAAAACATATCTTCACCTTCCTTTTGTGTTCATCTCCGGTGTATAATCAAAATTTGGAACCTCTCTTGTACTTGATACATTACAAACTTATTCATGTTGGGTTAGCAGGTGCAAGGGAATCCTCCCAAGGTTGTCTATATTTCCAAATTTAGCATATATGATTAGATTTTGTATCGGCAGATCAAATTGCTTCTGCGAGTAGTAGCATGCACCAACTTCCTCTTTCCAATCACCTGCCATCATTATTTAGTCAAGCACAAGATCGCTCACCATGCAGACCCTTAATTTTACTGAACTACTTTTCCAATATTGTTCTCAGAACACATATAAAATAATTAATAGATAGGTACCATTTCCAGGCAAGTGGAACAGGAGGATACGAGGAAAGTTCCTAGNCACCATGCAGACCCTTAATTTTACTGAACTACTTTTCCAATATTGTTCTCAGAACACATATAAAATAATTGATAGATAGGTACCATTTCCAGGCAAGTGGAACAGGAGGATACGAGGAAAGTTCCTAGAGGCCTTTTGCCAGCTCAATCACTGCAGAGAATATAGGGGAGACAAACCCAAAAAAAAACGTTAAGTATAGAAGAAACAAGTTAATAACACTTAAAAAACAAAACATGAGGAAAACCCACAATTCACAGGGCCTTGGAAGAGTTGCAGATGGAACAACATTTGCCAGAGTTTGTTCTGTTGACATAACATTCTGACAAGACTGCAGACCTGACGAATCACTTCTCACTGAACAGTAAATTTCTGATCCAGGAGTAAAAGATATGCCAGGAGATACTCGTTCTGCCTTCAAAGCGGCTGTCCTCGTATTGCCTCCAATGCTTCCATCTGTGGCATTAGCACCTGACTATTGGAATCAGAAGATACATTAGCGAACCATTACTTAATTCATTAAAGTATAATCACATATTGAACAGGGGGTCTTAATTCAAGTGCCACAGTACAAAGAAAAGACATGGCACAAAATTGTCAAGGAATTCAATATTATGCGTTCATGCTTCCGAAATAACTAGCAGTTATTTCTCAGGAGGGGTGAGGTTAGAGGCAATTCAGCAAATCTGAATGGGAGTCGGCAGTTTTTTTTTTGACAAATGACATAATTCCACAAGTTATCCCAAGCCAATATTAACTAGCCAATCCGCTGCAATTTGCACTACAAATCTCCAAAATTAGGACACACTAATGTAGGTTCTCCCGATCATTGTCAGAACAACATTCTAGGATCCAATCTAAAAACAAAGTAAATGATAGAAGAATGTTTCATACATGTGATAAATCTTTAATGTGTACAACGATTGTTGTTATATCATCTGTCCGGTTATCATTCTCCAACCATAGTTTGTATGATTCTCCAGCAATGGCAGAACACGCATCTCGAGGATCTGCATAACTGGACACCTACAAACAAAAGATAAAGAGAGCCAAAAAGAAAGACGTCAGGGAAATACTGGAACTGAAACAAATAGCAAAGGCTGTATCCCAAACGACATTCAATTTTTTCAACAACTCAAACCGAACTCAACAAAGACAAGTCTTAACATTTTTGGGGGTTGGCTACATGAATCTTGGTTTGCCATTGTGCTTGATTACAATTTCTAAATAGGTTCAAATAGGAACCACCAATTTAAAAATATCATAACCCATAGTTTTCCCTATATAAGGAAATATGCTATCAGAATGAAGGACAAGACTTTTTCGACTAACCAAAACTTCCATAACCTATTTTCTTACTTGTGGGGCATAGGTTTGACAGGTCTTGAATTGAAGCTTCTCCCTGGCTGAAGATACCACAGAAAACTTAAAGGCAGTATTTGGAAAATATGCAATTTTGCGAATCTATTGAGCCACAGTTCCATGCGATATTCAGCAGGTTAAACGAGTTCAAGATCAAGCCAAGGGAAATAGTTATGCCAGTATAACTGAAGGTCAGTACCCATAGGGAAAAACCTTAGGGCTGAAGAGTAATAAGACATTTGAAACATAAAAATGATTAAGAACATGAAATTAAATGCATTGTTTTTCTCACTGTCTTCAAATGATGAAAATTCTCATCAAGAGGTTTCAAGCACCAACCACTATTTCAAGTAAGTTGTATGCAGTCTATAGGTCTGATCCAGGGAAGATGAAGTAGTTCATGGCATATTTGGAAGGAAATAAATGTTTTGAGTAAAAATTATCTCAACCAACTTCAGACTTTTTTGATGCTTAGATTTTTCCAAAGGCAATATAAATTTGTTTGGCTATCATGTTCCAAGCCTATAGTCTTGCCAGGGAAGGTAACTCCAAAGATATTAAAGAAGGTAAAGGAGATGATGCTATACATAGAATCAAATGAATAACGAATTCCTTGATATGACACTATCTTGATCCAAAAAAGTGAAATCAAGAAATACAAAATCAAATTGGCTTAAAAGGAATTTCTTCACTATTTTTTTTTTTTTNGCCACTATCTTGATCCAAAAAAGTGAAATCAAGAAATACAAAATCAAATTGGCTTAAAAGGAATTTCTTCACTATTTTTTTTTTTCAGTGTGGATCATAGATGGTTGCAACTTTTAATTCTAAAGAAACAAAGTGAAGATGTTCCAAAACCACTGAATGTCCTACTCCCAGATTGAAGTTTTCTAGTAAGATATTAGTACAAGAGAACAAAAAATGAACTAAAATATCTCCTTTGCTGGGTATGTCACCAGAGAGGGAGTCCCACAGTAGTTATGCATACATTTTGTTCCTGATAAGCAGTGGTAGGTAGGCACATTTAAACACAATCCTGTTCGTGTTTGCTCACACATCTCATACATTTTGAAGTGCCCTAGCAACAAACAATTGAATGATTGGTCAAACTTCAGGCAACCAGGGGAGGCTGCACATACTTAGTAAGGAAAAGGTATAAAAAAAAAACAAAGAAAATGAAAAGAATAGGATAGGCATTAGTTGATACAATGAAATAAAAAATGTGAAGAGCCAATGAGATAGAAACAATAAATCGTAAATAGAATTTAAGCAAACTCTGGAACATACGAACGGCCATGATCAATAAAGCGATTCCAAAAACATTTCTAAATAATCAATCCTATCAGATTAGTTACATCACAGTAGCATTTAATAAGCCATTTATTATAAGCTATCTTTGTCAAGTGGAAAAAGATTTAGAGACATTGAAAGGTGAAGTATTAAGATGAGGATGCTTATACGGGCCTACCTATGGCATTTAACAGCCAAACTTAATAAACTAAACAGGAGCAGCTAACAATAGCTTTTGATGTAAATGGAATTACCAACCATGAATTAAAACTTGCCAAAGAGATACACTTTCATGTTCAATACTATCAAGAATAGGCAGACAAGAAAATGTTAGCATATCGACGATCTTCCAAAACTCTCAATCTGAATAAGCTTGAGATTAACAACAAAAAACACTAAGTGGAAAATTGTCACTGACATGTCGCACCAAACAGAAACACTAAGAAATAAAAATTCCCCAATACAATTTAAAGCATTGTCACCTTTGTTACTTACCATATCCACCACGGTTTGGCTAGAGAGGAATTCAAAAACCCCATCACTTGCAACTACAAAGAATGGATGATTAGGCGTAAGCTGAATCATTGACACCTCTGGAATAGCAACCACACCAATCTTCTCAGCTGTACTATCCCCTACACTCCGCGTAAAAGCAGTCCCAGGGTACATCCCATTCTGAACCCACAACCTCGGTGGATCACCACCTTCGGTTTCTTCATCCCCCCATGACTGAATACCAGGATCTTTAAGCCCTTCCACTTGATCAACACTCAAAACTCTGGCCCCACAAAGCTTCACTCTCTCATATTCATCCTTCCTAAATGGTGTCTGGTCACAAGACAAATCTTCAGCAAGAATTCTATTCCCTTCTTTACCAGCAATCACTGCTCTTGAATCACCCACATTAGCAACACATAGTGTATCCCCAATAACCAGAACTGTTATAGCTGTTGTACCACTCATTGTATCATCTATTTCACTCTCGTGAAGTTCACTGTTTGTTGCTAAAAATGCAGAATTATAAGCTCTAACAGGATCATCCAATAATGTAGGATCACTAGATAGAATATCCACCAACCTATTCTTAACGAAATCCGAACACTGTGCGCCAAACTGGCCATGCCCATCAAACACACCAAAGAAATGGGCATTTGGGTTACCTTGAATGTGTGTTTTGATGCAAAAGCTATCTTGGTTTTCTTTATCTGGCATCTCTGGATAGAATCCACGTTGAGTGAGGACTGAATACTCTAACCTGAAGTTGTGAGAAGGAACATGAACAATGTCTAGGGGCCTTCCATTACCAGTATACGGACCCAATTCTTGATCCTTGTTATCACCATCTGACGATGGTGGGTACTCACCACAACACTTCCCATGAACACAACCCATTTCAATACAATATCTTTAGAGACCCAATTCAAACGCACACCAAATGTTTGTGAAGAGTCCTGAATGAAACGTAGCAATGATATGAACGAAACCTACATAGGTACGAAATTCTTGGTTGAAATGGCCAAATAGGTGTTCCACATATTCAACATTGGGGTTCTTATCAAATAGGTTCTTCGCCAATCACCCAAGAAAGTTGAGAAAATCAACCAAAAAATTGAAACAAAAAGAACCCAGAAAAGCTTCCTTTGAAGAGGATTGCTTTTGTCATATGATGGGTGTCATCTGAAAAGAGGATTCTAAGAAAATTCTTCAAGATTGGAATTTGGAATAAACCAATCAACAAGAAATGATCAACAAAGAGAAATTCGAATTTGTACAGACGAACCCATACGGGAAAAAGGGTAAGAAACCCCTAAAATGAACCCTAATGAAGCAAAGGATTTGGACTTTATTCTTTTCGGAAAGCAAAAGATTGAATCTTTTTTGCACTGATCAAACAATGACTTTTTGTCAATTGTCATACAATAAGACGTGCGGTGTTGGGTTCGTGGGGTCTATAGAAGATTGTAATTTTGCAGTGGAAAATCAAGGCTTATGAACAGAGCATTTAAGACAACATTACCCAAGAAAATGAAACCCTACAAAAGCTACAATCCTAAATTCCTAACGGGTGTTTGATGAGAGAGAAAATAGGGTTTGTACTATGAACAGAGCATTCAGGGCAAAAATTAGTAAATTACCAAAGAAAATGATACCCAACAAAAGCTACAAACCCAAATCCTATTAGGTGTTTGTTGGGAGAGAAAATATGAGCTTGTACTATGTGCATGGGGGTGAGCTAAGACCATGTTCAACTTTCAAGAAAGGTGACAAAGAAAGCACATGCAACAAGGAGTGACTGCAAGAAAGGTGACAAAGAGGAAAGATGAGAGAAATAATAAATTACTTATATTTTAATAATACATTCAAAAATAAATAAAATAAACTCCATTTGAATAATTATTTATAATATAAAATAAGACAGACTTCCGTAAGTTCATTCGACGATTTCAAAAAGATTCATCTAACGACTATCAACATTCTTCTCAAAATCATTCACATTGAATCCTTCCCTCCTCAAATTCATCACTTCTCACTTATATTGTATCGTGTCTGCAGTCACGAGTTATCCCTAGTTTATAATATAAAATAGAGCAAATTTTAATAATCTCATTCGACGGTCTTCAATAAACTTATCAAACAGTAACTAATATTCCTCTCAAAATCATTCACATTGAATTTTTTTTACCCTCAACTTTATCGCTTCTCATTTACGTTGCACAATACCTTCAGATATGGGTTACCCCTAGTTAAATGACATTGCATAATAGTTACTACAATATATTGAATCAATTTATTTTTTTGTTACATTTTTATTGTATAGTGATACCACATGATAATAATGACGCGATGTCACTATTACACCTAATATTTTTTTTCTGTGGAGAATTTGTAAGCTTTTTACACTAGAATTTAATATTAGATATTTACATTTTCTTGGACATATTTAAATGGTGTTTATCTCAAGATCAACCTATCTTTTTTGTCTTCCTTTGAACGAGATTTTTCCTTTGAAATGAATATATTTCCAATGATAAATTATCCAAAACAAATTTGAATGTTACAATCAACTTCATTAAAATATTAAAAATGGAGATTGTGAATAAAATTGACTTTACAACAATTTTTTAGATCTAGATCTTGAATAACACACTTCTATTTTAATTTTAGTTAATATATTTATTAGAGGATCTTGCACACGACCACCATTGTGTATAATTGTAAAGGAGTGAGATATAGAGAGAGAGACATAGAGAGTAAAAGATAATGAAAGTGGAAAAAAGACCCAAGATATATAAAATTATAATAATAATAGATGGTCAAGTGTGTTTTGAAAGAGAGTTATGGGTGGTTAAGTGAAAAATAACGCAAGAANTAGGATCTTGCACACGACCACCATTGTGTATAATTGTAAAGGAGTGAGATATAGAGAGAGAGACACAGAGAGTAAAAGATAATGAAAGTGGAAAAAAGACCCAAGATATATAAAATTATAATAATAATAGGCGGTCAAGTGTGTTTTGAAAGAGAGTTATGGGTGGTTAAGTGAAAAATAACGCAAGAANGCAGACTTCCGTAAGTTCATTCGACGATTTCAAAAAGATTCATCTAACGACTACCAACATTCTTCTCAAAATCATTCACATTGAATCCTTCCCTCCTCAAATTCATCACTTCTCACTTATATTGTATCGTGCCTGCAATCACGAGTTATCCCTAGTTTATAATATAAAATAGAGCAGATTTTAATAATCTCATTCGACGGTCTTCAATAAACTTATCAAACAGTAACTAATATTCCTCTCAAAATCATTCACATTGAATTTTTTTTACCCTCAACTTTATCGCTTCTCATTTACGTTGCACAATACCTTCAGATATGGGTTACCCCTAGTTAAATGACATTGCATAATAGTTACTACAATATATTGAATCAATTTATTTTTTTGTTACATTTTTATTGTATAGTGATACCACATGATAATAATGACGCGATGTCACTATTACACCTAATATTTTTTTTCTGTGGAGAATTTGTAAGCTTTTTACACTAGAATTTAATATTAGATATTTATATTTTCTTGGACATATTTAAATGGTGTTTATCTCAAGATCAACCTATCTTTTTTGTCTTCCTTTGAACGAGATTTTTCCTTTGAAATGAATATATTTCCAATAATAAATTATCCAAAACAAATTTGAATGTTACAATCAACTTCATTAAAATATTAAAAATGGAGATTGTGAATAAAATTGACTTTACAACAATTTTTTAGATCTAGATCTTGAATAACACACTTCTATTTTAATTTTAGTTAATATATTTATTAGAGGATCTTGCACACGACCACCATTGTGTATAATTGTAAAGGAGTGAGATATAGAGAGAGAGACATAGAGAGTAAAAGATAATGAAAGTGGAAAAAAGACCCAAGATATATAAAATTATAATAATAATAGATGGTCAAGTGTGTTTTGAAAGAGAGTTATGGGTGGTTAAGTGAAAAATAACGCAAGAATAATAAGCATATTTTAGGTGTAGTAGACACCAAACCCCCTCCTCCCTTTTTGTTAATAGTATTAGAGGCATTTGCACATGACATTTGTGTGCATAATTACAAAAAAAAAGTGAGATATGAAGGGAGATATAAATATAAGAATTTACTATTTCTAAATGTCAAGAAAAGTAACAAACATTTGTTAAATCAAAATAACCTTAACAAACTAACTAATGTCTATCCTACTTCTAAATATTAAGTAAAGTGAAAAATATTTGTTAGACCAAAATAACCTTAACAAACTAACCAATGTTTATCCTTTTTTTGTAATTAATAACATTATTACATGATAATAATTGTCACAATTATTTTATTGTTGGCTGTTAGGTTACTAGCATTTGAATATCATAATAAATAATTATAATATTAGTTTTTTCCACATACTCACTTTCAAAACTTACAATCAGTGACCTTTTGTTTTCTCTTCCGCAAGTATCTTTCTTTATCTATTCTCATTTTGTATCAATTTATTAACCAAACNCTGTCACAATTATTTTATTGTTGGCTGTTAGGTTACTAGCATTTTAATATCATAATAAATAATTATATTATTAGTTTTTTCCACATACTCACTTTCAAAACTTACAATCAGTGACCTTTTGTTTTCTCTTCCGCAAGTATCTTTCTTTATCTATTCTCATTTTGTATCAATTTATTAATCAAACTCCCAAAAGAAGATGAAAGTAATCTAGGAGAAAGGAATCATCATTGGTTGTTTTAGCTTTCTACCTTTCCTTATCTTTGACCTGCTTGAGGTAATTACTTTTTTATAGTAGTAAATATGTATTCTCTTTCTTTTGTTTTTGGGTATAGATGTCAGGATCACCATATTTGCAGTTCACGTCCTTGAAAATGATTTTCTTCTACTCTAATATGCTTAGCTTGGAGTGTCTTGAAGCTCACTTGAGTGGAGATATGAATGTGTGAGTACTTGTTTCTTATGGTTTTTATGTGAAATCTTAAAAGATTTGTATCATTTTCACTCATGCAAGAGGTGTGGCACTCTTATTGAGATTTTTCGTTTCCATACATATCAAAGTTTATATATGGTATTAGTTTATTGCTAGTGAAATTTCAGATGAGAACCATAAAACCCCTATAATGGTTGACTTGGTTTTGTTGTGTATTTCTAATTAAAATCATTCCTTTGGCAGGCAAATGGATTTGTGGATGTGATTAACACCAAAAACTATTACGTTTCCCTTGTCAACCTAATTAATTATTTTCTTAGTGGATTGAAAAATCTTGGTTACACATAAACCTCTTGGCATCATGAGCTTGTGAGGCTGTGCAAATATAATCACGGCCATAATTTGTTAGCATGCATCATAATGTTTATTGAGCCACTGTCAAATACTTCTGAAACTAGGTCACTGGATTTATTTCTCCATTTTATGAAGTAATAAATCATAAAGTAGGTCATTGAACATATAAAAAAATATATCTAGATAAAAGAAACCTATCTTTATTGTCTATATCTTGGTTCTTTTTATTTTTTTGTTATAATATGATTGTAGAGACAGTTCTAGAATAACATACTCCCATCATATTAGTTAGAAACTTCATTTTATTACATTCCAAAGGTTATGTTTGATATTTTTGAAAACATTAGTTAGAAGTTGGATTGTAATTCTATATCTTAATTCATAAGCATATATTTAATAACATAATTGTTATATAATTTCAAAAAAGTTAAAAATATAAAAATAAAATTATAATTCAAAATGCACCATATGCAACAACTAGTAGGGAAAAAAAAAGCCAACAAATATGAAAATTTATGGATGGTATATGAGTAGTTAAGGGATAAAATAGATATATCACAATAAGGACACAAAATCCCTCTCCTCCATTAGTTAATAGTTTAAATGTTTTTGGTCAAAATTAATAGTATATATAGATAAATATTGGTAAAGATCTAGTTATACATAATGGGCCAGACTATCCATATAAATTTAGCCCTCAATAATTGGGCCAGGTTCTCTTTTGTGTCAACAACCCAACAAGCCACCAGACCCATACATTTAAATAGAGAAAATTAAAACCATTGCTAAAAACTTTTCTACTTTTAGATAATATTTCAAAATTTTTTTTTTCTCAATTTCCATAGTTAATTCTTTGGCTTAGTTTGAGTTCATCATCCCATTAGTTAGAAAAGGATAGTGGCNAGCCACCAGACCCATACATTTAAATAGAGAAAATTAAAACCATTGCTAAAAACTTTTCTACTTTTAGATAATATTTCAAAAAAATTTTTTTCTCAATTTCCATATTTAATTCTTTGGCTTAGTTTGAGTTCATCATCCCATTAGTTAGAAAAGGATAGTGGCATCCTGGAGGCTGTCCAGATGTGTTTTGGAAGTTTTCTCATTGAGAATGTAGAGATAGACATTGAACAGCAACTTGAAAAGTCTTTTTAGAGAGAGAGAGAGAGAGGGAGAGAGAGAGAAACATAGGTGATGGAAACAAAGGTGTTTCCAAGGAAAATTCCAAANATTTAGAGAGAGAGAGAGAGAGAAACATAGGTGATGGAAACAAAGGTGTTTCCAAGGAAAATTCCAAAAGACCTTTGGGAAAAATGCTTTGATTAGAAGTAGTTTTCGAGGAGATAGGGAAGACGACTAGTGGAGAAAATACTGAATGTAACAGTGACATCACGTCGCTGTTATTCGGTGGTGTCACCCATTAATAAGAAACCATCAGTTAAATAAGTGTATTCCATTTAATTTGGTATCT